TATTCTATTCTATTCTATTCTATTCTATTCTATTCTATTCTATTCTAAATTTTAGTACGCGAAACTCCTGCTTGGCCACATTATAGATCAGGACTAAATAAAAATGATGGCCCAGGTTTTTCTTTTAAAAAATCATTCCTGCTTATCTCCTTTTAGCGGCCTCTGTCCTTGCATTCGAAAAGGATGGAATTTACTTGTTATCTGTTTTCCCCTCCCATCTCCTCTCTTCTGAAATTCCCCTTTGTGCTTCTTCACTCTTTCCATGTCACCAGGGGTGGTATTCTACCGCTTTGGCCCGGTTCTGCTGAGCTGATAGCAGCGATGAGCAGCAGAGACTGAGCCAATTCTCTCCACCGCTCGCCTGTTGGGCCCACCTGCCCGCCAGGTTCCCGTACTCACCTTTATGTCCTGCTTTTGAAGTGCAGCTGCAGTGCCACATGGCAGCTGCTGAAGCGACCGGGAGAGTGCAGGCTTGGAGGAGGAGAGTTGGAACACCTCTGCACCTGTGCGAACACCTCTGCGCCTGTACGAACACCTCTGTGCCCGCGTGCAAAGCGTGCCCACCAAGCCATGCCCACCAAACCGATGGTGAAGCTTTTTGAATCGCACCATTGCATGTCACCCAGTTTCCATCTGTAGAGTGGTTTCATCTCTGGCTATGAACTGGGGGATCGTGTGAGCTCCTCTTCAACCCTCAGGAAGGGTAGGATTTGCAAGGCCTCTCCGAGGCGGCCTAATCCAGACAGGAGAATATCATCATCATCACCATGGCAGTCTGTTCCTTTTTCTCCATCCTTCCGTTCCCTTGTAAGCTTCTCCTCCCCTTCTCCCTCCCACCCATGATGAGAAAAAAAAAAACCCACTCTAATCCAATTACACCAACCGCGTTAAGCGGTATCTTAATGCAGCAGACTGCTAAGCCAAGAAGGGCAGAACAGAGGTAGAATCTCGAAAAATGCGCCAGTCGAAATGCTGTAAGGCTGACAGTGCTAATTCCCTCTAACCTTTTCCACCTTGGATGCTTACAGATATAGATTAACAAAGAGTTGGAACGGGCTGTTGTAGTCCCCCTGCAGCCTGCGGAGATGGCAGCAGAGTTGGACAGTGGGGAACCACGGGGACCAGTCCGGGAGTCTGGGGAGGACTCGGATAAGGCTCCTGCGTCCGATACAGAGATGGGGCCAGGGCCACCTGGGAGTTATATGCTGATTCCGGAGCCTTCGGAGTCTGGAAGCAATGAAGCAGAGGAACAAGGGGATCCTGTTCCCAGTGCACACGTGCGCAGAGCTGCCAGAACAATTAAGACAAAAGGGGCGACTTGGGAGTAAGGCTTGGAGATGATTGGCCCCTCCCATAAGACATAAAGGAGGAGCAAAGGGACACGAGCCTTTGCAGGAAGCAACTAATTCGCTCTGTTCAGATTAAACCTGGAAGCTGTGTGTGGACTTTGTACTTGGTTTGGCTTTTTACAGTTCATTTGGCACTTTAGTTGTTGGCAGCAATTCAAAGGATAAAGGTGGGTGCTTATCTCGAGAGACTGTTTAGGACTCATTACGTGCTGGGAATGAACATAATTCCCAGTTGTTGAAATAAAAAGAGGGTTGTTTGGACTAAGCGTGTGCTTAATTACGGTCTCAGGAAGCCTTGGTCACAACAGGGGCCTTGTAGGTCATCTGATCCAAATTTTGAGTAGTTCCGAGATCTGGCAAATCCCACCTCTGACTGGCCCCGCCCCCAACTATTCTCCACCTCCCAAGTCTCAGCTCATTGGCTGGATCTTCTTTTGTTGCCTTGTACAGGAGAATGGAGCTGGAAAGCAGGTTAGTGGGGGGGTGAGGAGGGAATGGGGATTTTGTAGTATCCTTCCCCTGCCATGCCCGCCAAGCCACGCCCACCAAGCCAAGCCACACCCACCAAGCTAAGCCGTGGCCACAGAACAGATAGTAAACAATTTTTGAATCCCACCACTACTTCCCATATTTTTTCTTTCTTATTTCGTGAGGCGATCCAACCCCACCCCACCCCCCGTGTATATAATGAGGCGGCCACATATCTCATATTAAATATTCCACTTCTTTAATTATTTGTTAAATCAGTTGGGTTGTTGTTGTTCTTGTTGTTGTTGACTGGTTTCACACGACGACACGATCCCGAAAGGGGAAGGGGAGATGGGACAGAGAACAACGACCTGACATTTGTATGTCCCGGCTCCCCTGGCTTCCCACCTTACAAAGACCATAAGGGTTGGTGTGATGAGTGGGGCAGGCCCAGAGCGATCAAGCCGCCTTTGGCCCACCAGGGGTGAGCAGATGCCTTCCCTCCTGCCCTCACCCTCCATTTTGAGAGAGGGGGAGGCGCTCTTTGGGGAAGGGGCTATGGCTGAAGTCGCAGGCTCAAGAAACAGGAGCGCGCCTGACTGAGGGGAGGGGGCAAAGTTAAGCACCGGTGGGAAGACAGCCCGAAACGTCACCCCCTCCCCTGGGTCAGTTACGGGCAACCACCCGAAGGCTGTCTCGGTCTCCGATGGGTGCAGGCCCCTGGAGGGAAGGTGGCTTAAACGGCGGCCACGGTGCTAGCAGAGCAAATGTACATGCAGAAGTAAGAGGTCCCACCCCGTTTAGGTATTCATTTACACATCTACAGAGTCAGACCCGAGGGGAGTTAGGGTCTCTAAGATCGGCCATTTTAAGACTCGCGGACTTCAACTCCCAGCATTCCCCAGCCAGCGTGTCTCCCATTCTGGGAGTTGAAATCCCCAACTAGGGCTGACCGGGGGGAATTCTGGGCGTTGAAGTCCACCAGACGAGTCCCGCTAAGTCTCCATGCAATGAAAGACGTAGAGAAGTTTGGAGACTCCCTGGCTTCAGGGGAAGAAGAACGAGAAGAAAAATAAATAAATCCCGCTGCTTTTTAGTCTAAAAATGAAGAGTTTCAGAGGAGGTCCGAGGGAAGCTTTGCAGGGGAACGAAGCTAACCACGGCTAACCTCTGCCTTTTCCCATTTACACACGTACAGGTGCACGCACAATCACCCAGACACACCCACCCACATGCACACAGGGGTAAGGAAAAAGGGGGCAGAGAACACATTGGCACGGCTGGGGCGGGGGGGATGAGGAGAGCAGGAACTCAGCTCTCCCCCCCCCTCAATATAATATCTTACTAGCGCTAACCGGGTCACAACCCTTCCCCCTGCCCCCCCCCCCAAAGCCCCCACCCACCCATCCTTGTTAGATTCTCATCTCCCAGGCAAGTTGTTTTGAAGTGGCTGGTCCCTTGCATTCAATCCCAGCTCCGGAAGGAAATTTTGAAGGTTGGATGGACTTAGATGTTTTGCAGAGGTCAAGAAAGAGGGACACGCACACATATTTCCCACCCCCATGGCGTTTCCCCCCCACCCTCTCTCTCACACACACACATAGACCCTCTTCCTATAGCCTGTCTCTAGAAACGAAAGCAGGATTTGGCAGAGAGCAGACGTGGGTGAGAGATTGGGGGTGAGGGGTCCTTCCCTTGTGTCCAGACTGGGACAGGCATGCAGGACAGAGGACAAGTGAGGTGTCCCATCTGGGGAGGGAGGGAGCTGGGGGTGGGGTAGCTGGGGAAAAAGGAACGGGGTAGGAAGGCTCGGTTGGTTTATTTTTATTTTTTTCCTCTGTCCCGGCATGTGATCCTGGTGTTGCCATCTTTCATGGTTATGGCGGGGGGGGGGGGGGGGGGGGGGGGGGGGGGGGGCTAATTTGGGAGGGTCAAGATTTCCCCCCAACAGGGGAGGCAACCAGCAGTGGACACAGGAAGAGAATCAGTAGTAGGTCTCTTTCTCCACCCATCCTGTAAAAAAAAAAAAAGGAATATCCATTAGGTGGTGCGTGGCGGGATGGCCGTTCGATGCCACCACCGCTAGGGTGAAGCTGCTGGGGGTTTGCAGGGGTTCGGGAGACCCCCCATCTAAGATTCTGTGGAGTTCGGAGAACCCCCCCCTCCCAAATCCCACTCCTGGCTGGTCCTGCTCACCCCACCCTGCCCCTCCCAGGAGCCCCCATGTGGGCCGTTTTGGATGCAGGTCAGTGCAAGGCACACACGGAGGCTCGGGGAAGGTGCAAAAGGGGGCCTCTCGGAAGTTTGAGAAGGCCAGAAATGGGCCTGTTTCAAGCTTCCAGAGAGCCTCTGGCGCCCTGGGAGGCCATTTTTGTCCTCCCGGAGGCTTGGGGGAAGCTTCCGGAGGCCGGGGAGAGCAAAAACACCCCCCCACACACACCTTGGTGCAGGAGGCCAACTAGACCACACCCACTATGACCACGCCCACCCAGCAACTGGGCAGAGAAACTTTGCTAACATTTTTGAAGTCCGCTACTCCTGCCACCACCCCTTTCAAATAGGATCCAGACCCCTCCTGCCTGTTTCCTCCAATCTTTATTTATAACACACACCCTGCCCCCTGGATTAGAGGACGAAGGTAATGCAAATAAGGACCAGCCAGTTGGGAAGAATGGAGGGGGCGGAGGGGGGGGAAATGGCTGAAGACATTGCCTTCGATTCTGCACGGTGGGTAAGGGGAGCTCAACCCCTGCCCTTGAAACGGAGCCTTGCATTTGGAAATAAAGGGAGGAAGAAAGGTAAGAAAGAAGGAGAAGGGAGAAGAATGAGAGGAAGGGAAAGGGAAGGAGAAAAAGAGGGGAGGGAAGAAGGAAAAAAGGAAAAGGAAAAAAAAAGAAAGAAAAAATATGAAGGAAGGAAGGAGAGAGGGAGGGAAGGAAGGAAAAAGGAAAAGAGAGAAAGAGAGGGAAGGAGGAAAAAAGGAAAAGAAAGAAAAAAATAGGAAGGAGGGAGGGAAGGAAGGAAGGAAAAAGGAAAAGACAGAAAGAGGGGGAAGGAGGAATAAAGGAAAAGAAAGAAAAGAAAGAAAAAATAGGGAGGGAAGGAAGGAAGGAAGGAAAAAGGAAAAAAAGGAAAAGGGAAAGTAAAGGACTCAAAGTGCAGGACAATAAAGGAGAGTCATTTAGTTCATGAATTCCTCCAAATAAAAACATACTTTGCTTAGGAATGTCTGCAAAATGACCAATAAATGAAAAAAACCTTGAACTAAAAATTGACAGGATTGACAGCTTCTGTTACGTAGGCAGGGATCTTTCTGTGAACCTGGCAGCCCATTCAGCCCCCACCCCCACCCCGCAGCCACGCTCCCGGGCCCCCTCGTACCTCCAGGGTTACGGCGCAATATGAGTTTACGGATTTCATCATACACAAAAATGACGAAACTGTACGGAAAAGCGCAGAACCACCAGCTGGGCCTGGGGAGAGAACGCAGACACTCAGCCCAAGAAGGTGAGGGCCCACTCAGCCCTTTAGATCCCAACAAGTCGCCCCCACACCCCCACCCCAAAAAATAAAAGAATAAAAATCTGGTACTCACTTCAAAGGATACATTCTGAGAGCCACATCCATACCGGGGCAGTAGGATAAGAAGGCGGCTAAGGCAGTCTCCTCAAAGAGGCCGAAAATGAGGATCTTGTTTCTGAGAAGTGGGGAGAAGAGAGGGAGAGGGAGAGGAAGAAATGGATGGATGGACGGATGGAGAGGGAGATGGATGGACGGATGGAGGGAGACAGGAATGATATCAGATGGATAGATGGATGGATAGGAAGATATGGATGGATGGATGGATGGATGGATGGATGGATGGATGGATGGATGGAGATAGGATGATATCAGATGGATGGATGGATGGATAGGAAGATATGGATGGATGGATGGATGGATGGAGAGATGGATGGATGGATAGGAAGATATAGATGAATGGATGTATGGAGATAGAACGATATCAGATGGATAGATGGATGGATAGGATGATATCAGATGGATGGATGGATGGAGATAGGATGATATTAGATGGACGGAGAGATGGATTGATAGGTTGTGAAAGGAAAAAAAATAACATCGGCACTTACACAGGCTCTGAATCACATTAAAATTGGCATTGCTGCACAATCCCCATCACCCTAGTACCTGAATGGGCCACGCCTCCCATCAAGCAACACACTTTCCTCGCACATTACGGCTGAGTCCCCAGATGTTCAATCAAATCAGAGAAAAAAATCTAGGAGCTACCTTCACCCAGCATTCTACGCCTGGCTATCTATCTATCTATTGCCATTCCACCGGACTAGGTCGATCCTGGCTTTGGGTAATCCCAAACCAGAGTTAATTCAGGAACCGAGTTAGAGACGTTCTCGGAACCGCAAATTGCAGGCCCAGTTCCATCCTGGAACAGCCTATGGCTCCCAGTGGGAAGTCTTGATGCTTGCATATAGGGATTTTCGCAATTTCTAAATTACAAATAAATACCAAACATGTGTAGTTTGATAGGTAGAGGTGCCTGCAGCATCTTATTGTGACAAGGCCAGCCCTGCTCAACCCATCTCCTCAAGTCAACTTCTGAGGCCACCCCACCTGGTTGCCTGAACTTGACTCACCTGTTTCTTTGGCAAACAGGAAAACCCAGCAGCCCACATACCTCATGCCTTGCTGGAAGACGGAATTCCTTCTGGTTTTGCAAATAATCAGGTCAGCCCACTGCACCACCACGATGCTGACAAAGAAGGCGGTATGGCAGGTGAATTCCACCACTTTGCGTTGCTCGTAAGTCTAGGAGGAACACGGCAGGGAATCAAACATCTGCACCAGGGGTGGGATTCAAAAAGTATTACCACCGGTTTGGTGGGTGCACTTTATGTGCATGCACACACTTTGTGTGCACACTTTGTGCAGTGCAGAGGCGTTCCAACTCACCTCCTGCAAGCCTGCACTCTCCCGGTCGCTTCAGCAGCTGCCGCACAGCACTCTGCTGTGCCGTGCAAAGCAGCTGCTCTTCAATAGCAGAGGATACAGGTGATTATGGCGGGTGGGCCCAACAGCAGAGTGGCAGAGAGAACCGGTTCAATCTCTGCTGCTCATCACCGCTAACGGCTTGGCAGAACTGGGCTGAACTGGTAGAATACCACTGTTATGTATATGTAAATAACATAGTTGGGTTGACAATATATAAACTACAAATATATATATATATATTTGCAGCTTTAAGGAAAAATACTATAATGTATTATGCTGTGTTCTGGTTGGTCAATTATGCTACAAGTTGCCATAAGAGGGAGCTATAGATCATGGTTAAATATTTTTTCTCTTTTGCACTGATGATCTCTCTTGATACTGATACTTATTGACTACGGACCGATACTGACTAACCCTGTTTATTTTGACATTCTGTTGATATCGAAGGTTATTTGTTCTATTATGGTTTGATATTTGTCTGCTGTAAAAGACATGGAACCGGTAAGAAGACTTTATAACTGGATATTTCTGGACTGTTAAAAACGTGTATGACATGGACTGTTTATTGGATTCATAAACCGTTTTCCGTGTGCATATCCTTTTTATACAAGGGTTACCCTGCACATATCCTAACAACCACCACTGATCTGCACCCTCTTCCTTCCTTGCAGAACAACCTGCTCTCTCTCTCAGCTCAAAATTAGACGCTTGGTGGGGGGTCAGGGGGAGACTCACTCCCCACTGTGTATGGCAGCTGCTGCAGTTGTGCTGTTACTTCAGCAAAGGGTCTCGGTTTCAAATTAATCTGAGCGGTGTTGGCAATATCTATCGGTCGCCAAGCTGGATCAAGGATAAACGAAACAAAGTTTAGGGATCCAACATCTGAAGTAACCTCTCAGAATTTGGGATCCTAGTGGATCATCACTTGAGTGTGAGCCGGCATTGTGTTGCAGCTGTGGAAAAAAGCCAATGTAGTCCCTAGGCTGCATTAACACAGGGATTGAATCAAAATTACTTGAAGTTTTAGTATCACTTTATAATGCCTTGGTAAGACTATATTTGCACCAGTTTTGGTCGCCACGATATAGAAAAGAATGTTGACGCTCTGGAAAGAATGCAGAGAAAAGCAACCAAGATAATTAGAGGCCTGGAGGCTAGAATATGTGAAGGAGGGTTGCAGGAATTGGGCATGTCTAGTTTAATGAAAAGGAAGAGTTAGGGGTGATACGATAGCAATGTTCCAATATCTCAGAGCCTGCCACAAAGAAAGGGGGTCAACCTATTTTCCAAAGCACCTGAAGACAGGACAAAAAGCCATGGAGGGAAACTCATCAAGAAGAGAAGCAACCTAGAACTAAGAAGGAACTTCCTGACAGGGAGAACAATTAATCAATGGAACTGCTTGCCTCCAGAAGTTAATGCTCCAACACTGGAAGTTTTTAAGAAGAGACTGGATAACCATTTATCTGAAATGATATAAGGTCTCCTGCTTAAGCCGGGGGGGGTTGGACTAGAAGACCTCCAAGGTCTCTTCCAACTCTGTTATTTTGTAAATTTGTAAATTTCAGAATGGGATTCATTGGTTGGGCTTTTATTATAGGTAAAGGTTCCCCTCGTACATGCGCGCTAGTTGTTTCCAGCTCTAGGGGGCGCTGGTGCTCATCTCCGTTACAAAGCCGAAGAGCCAGCGCTATCCGAAGACGCCTCCGTGGTCATGTGACCAGCATGACAAAACACCTTCGAAGGCGCCCAGAACGTTGTTACCTTCCCACCGAAGGTGGTCCCTATTTTTCTACTTGCATTTTTACATGTTTTCAAACTCTAGGTTGGCAGAATCTGGGACAAGTAACACTGTTACGCAGCGCTAAGGATTTGAATCGCCGAACTGCCGACCTTTCTGATTGGCAAGCTCAGCGTCTTAGCCGCTGAGCCACCGCATCCCTGCTTTTATTATAATGCCCGTTAATTCAGCTCTCCTCTAGGGCTTACGCCATCTTGATTAAATAAGATATGCTTTGTTTCTGTAGGCTTTCACATCTCGTGTGACGTGATGTGTCTAAAAAGGGCCCTTCCTGGCCCATCACGGGTTTGTTCTGCATCTGGGCAGCAGGCTTGCCAAATTTGGCTCTTACACAGCTTCCTCCTCTTTTAGCGCTTGCCAAATACAGTGTCTATCACTTCCCGCAGCTTAGGGCCTCAGTGGCGTTTTAATCCAGTTCTGAAATTCGATCGCCCTTCCAAGGACCAGCACCCAGCAAATGGAGACCAAAAAAGACACAGTTTGAGTGAAAGGTATTTAAACTGAAACCCTGCATAACTCAAGGCATCTGCTGCAGAGGGGAACATCAACCTCTCTCTCTCTCTCTTTCTCTCTCTCTCTCTCTCTCTCCCCCCCCTCTCTTCGAGGTATAATATTCATTCTCAGCAAAAGACAATGACACAATACAGTCTTGAAAACAATGTCCTCAAAAGATACCAAAATCTTCATCTGTTGCAACATCGCCACTGCAAAATATATTCTCATGAGGCAGCTAGAATCATAAACGTCCATGATCTATTACCAGACATGAAATGAAGCACCATCGTGTCAAGAGAGATCAAATTATTATGTGATATATATATAGAGATATATCTCAAGGCAGAAACTCCTGGAGGAAGAACATCTAAAAACACATCTGGCACCGTGTTCTATAAACTCATCCAAATAAAAACACTTCGCAGGGATTGGATCTCAGCCATCCTTTCTGTAAGCGATCCAGAATGTGGTTCTACCCCTTTCCTCTACTTACCCACTGCTGCCCATATGAATCCTCCAGGTCATTGATTGCCCGGTTGTCCCATGTAAGACGGATGCCAACCAAAATAGAGGGCAGGAACCCGTTCTCAGCCAAGATCACAAAATAGGAGAAGAACCCTCCCAGAGCCTGAATCATTCCTGCAAAAGGAATTTTGAGAGTTGAGGAAATCCTTTCTTGACCTCCACAACTGTATAGACTTCTTAGAACTCCCCCCAAAAAACCCAGCCAGCTTATGACAATTTTTCACACTTATGACCTTTGTAGAACCCCTGTGACCATGTGATCAAAATTCAGGTGCTTGGCAACTGGTTCGTACTTATGACCGTTGCTGTGTCCCAAAGTAATGGGGGTTACCTTTTGGAACCCTTGGACAAGCCAAATCACTGGGGAAGCCAAATTCACTTAACAACTATGTTGTCAGGATTCCGGCAGTTACTCCAATTAAATCATGAGCCTCAAGCCACACTCCCAAAACTTCAAAGGATTTATTAAAAGTTAACATGCCGGCATTTGCCGTAGCCGACTCTGAGATACGTAATTCACTGTCACCTTTGTCCCTCCACCCTTCTGAGTGTATCATCCAACAAAAAACGTCCATAGCCAAGAGTCATCAATCAAGCTCTCCAATTAGATATTTGCGCGGCAGAAGCTTCCGTCATCTAATCAGTGTTTGAAGAAAATATGAATAGAATGTACTTTCGATTCCACTCTGCCGTCTGCTCTTTGAAAATCCCCCCTTTCTTTCTGTTGTAAACTATAAAACGTGTATATAAAATGTTTTATGAGTTGACATATGTTATTAACTTAACAACTACACTGATTCACTTAACAACAGTGGCAGGAACTGTCATGAAATGGGGCAAAACACACTTAAGAAATGTCTAACTTAGTGACTTGATGCCCTAGGTAAAGATCCCCTTATTGTGACAAGGCCAGCCCTGCCCAACCCATCTCCTAAAATCAATTTCTGAGGCCATCCCACCGGGTTGCCTGCACCTGACTCACCAATCTGCCCGTAGGCCATACTGATGAGACGTTCATTCACCAGCTTGTCAGTCCTGGGGTTTCGGGGCTGACGCTTCATGATGTCACTCTCAGCTGCTTCGTAAGCCAAGGAGATGGCAGGTACCTGGTGGGAAAACAAAGAATGGAAATGGCACAGATTGCTAGATCACAGGTTTTGTCTTACACTTGAAGGTTTAGCTCAGAGGTCTCCAAACGTGGCAACTTTAAGACTTGCGGACTTCAACTCCCAGAATTCTCCAGCCAGCTGGATAATTTTGGGAATTGAAGTCCACAAGTCTTAAAGTTGCCAAGTTTGGGGACCTCGAGGACCAGAATGAAAGATCAGGGTTCTTGGGGCCATTTCCCCCAAATTCTGTGTCTTCTTTTGCCATGCTTTTCTCTATCCTTTTTTGACTCCTCTATTCATTCTTTTCAAAGACATGCCAGGGTCAACCTCCGTGAGAAACACGATTCCTTCCCTCGGTTTCCTGCTCAGGTTGTAAATATTAAGTCAAACCCGCAGCTAATACACTTAAGCTGTGTATTAGATGTATCTGTCCACAAAAGTTAACAAGAGCATTTTGGTGGTAAGAATTATAGTTCCCAAGATCCTTGAGCAGTGGGTCTTCAAACTTGACACCTTTAAGACTTGTGGATTTCTTAAACACCAAGGAATTCTGGGAGTTGAAGTCCGCAAGTCTCAAAGTTGCCAAGATGGAGACCCCAGTGTGAGGAGGTGGCAAGATTCCTTACATGAAATTCAGTTGTGGGACAGAAGGTCATTTAACTAGCCTACAAGTTTCCTTTGTGCTATTTTGATCATATTATTTATGTATATTCCACCTTTGTTACTTTTTATAAATGATTCAAGGTGGTGAATATAACTAATACTTCTTTCTCCTCCTATTTGCCCTATAACAACAACAACCCTATGAAATGGATTGGCCCGAGAAAGAGGAATTAGCCTAAAGTCACTCAGCTT